GCTAAGTACGACAAGCTTAAAACAGCTATATCTGAAATAATCTGGCCTGAGTACGATGGGGATGTAGAAAACAGTGCCTTACACTTTAGTAAAATCTTGAATAATATATCCAGTAAACTCATTTCTCTTGTTAAAGAAAATACGGGACCTCGTAACTCGTTGTGGTTTAACTCGGAGCTAAATCAAAAAACTAAATCATTTAAACTTTATAAAAAATCAGGCCTGTCTTCACACTTTAGTAAAATCTTGAATAATATATCCAGTAAACTCATTCCTCTTGTTAAAGAAAATACGGGACCTCGTAACTCGTTGTGGTTTAACTCGGAGCTAAATCAAAAAACTAAATCATTTAAACTTTATAAAAAATCAGGCCTGTCTTCTCATTACGTCACGTACTCCTTCCTTCGTCATAAATACAATGTCTTAAACAGAAAATGTTACAGGAGTTACATTAATAAAATTCGCATTAACATCGTTTCTAATCCCAAGTAATTTTATCATTTTGTTAACTCAAAACGTAAAATAAATGGGTTTCCCTCAACACTGAAATTAGATGATGGTATTTCTAGTGATGATGATATGATTGCTGATATGTTTGCAAATTATTTTGAACCGAACTATTCTGTCGAGCCAAATGAAGAAACTTCTAGCTACCCTTTTCCACAGTTTGACCACATCCGTATTCCTTCAATCTCTGCTGACAATGTTCTCCTTCATTTGAATAGTTTAAAAAATTCTTTTCTAAGCGGTCCGGATGGTATTCCCTCCTGTGTCCTAATAAGTTGTGCAGATTATCTATATAAGCCATTAACAAACATCTTCAATGCTTCTCTAAAACAAGGAGTTTTCCCCTCTTTGTGGAAGGAGTCGTATATCCTGCCGCTGTATAAAAATGGAAGCAGGTCGAATATTGCGAATTATAGGGGAATCGCTAAGCTGGGTGCCATTCCTAAAGTATTTGAAGAGATCGTTACGGAAGAACTATCTCATTCCATAACGCCTGTTATCGATGTATCACAACACGGCTTTTGTAAAGGCAAATCAACTGTATCAAACCTTCTTGAATTCACTACAAATGTAAACAATGGTTTCAAAAGTAACTATCAAACTGGCGTCATTTACACTGATTTCAGCAAGGCATTTGATAAAGTATGGCTTTCTTCTTATTTCATTGACAGGAAATAGAGGGTTATCTTTAAAAAATGTTCATCTCGGTTAATTCATGTGATGTAAAGTGTACCTCAAGGTAGCCCCCCTTGTTTCTTTTATTCATCAACGATCTTCCAAATATTTTGAAGTATTCGAATTGCTTAATGTACGCACACGACGTTAAGTTATTTAAGTTCATTGGTTCTCAAGGAGACAGGGAACAATTACAGGGGACCTTAGAAATGTGTTTAAATGGTGTGAAGTAAATTCTATGTCACTTAACTTGAAAAAGTGGAAATTTATGTGTTGCTCTAGAAGACCCTTTCAATCATATAGCTACCGCATTTATGAACATAGGGTTGATCAGGTAACTAATTTCATCGATCTAGGTGTGACCATAGACCCTAAGCTTGAATTCAAGTCCCATGTAAACTCTTGTGTTAATAGAGCCAAGGGCGCCTTGGCTTTCATCAAACGTTGGGCTAAAGATTTCAGAGATCCTTATGTCACGAAAGTTCTCTTCACCTCCCTAGTCATGCCGATCTTAGAATACGGGTCCCTCGTATGGAACCCTAGATATCAAACGCATTCTGACAGGCTCGAGTCGGTACAGAAACAATTCTCATTATTCGCATTAAACAATTTGCCTTGGGATTCGATATTAAATCTCCCACCGCACATAGGGACGAATCGCCAGTTTAGCACGACAAACATGTTTACTCCATATGTATTTGACAGATTTCAATGAAATTTGCTGTTAGGAGATTTTCGTGGTAACTGATTCCGAATATTAAATCAAATTTCCAAAATTCAAAATGGCGGATCTAATATGGCGGACGATTAAAAAAAATTGCTATTGTTAAGCTTGGTATCCAGAGACTTTCGTCGTCACTGATTTAAAAATTGGTATTCAATTTTCAAAAGTCAAAATGGCGGATCCAATATGGCGGACGATTTGTTCAAAAATGGATAAATTGTTATAAAGCTTGGTATTTACTTACTGTATTTGACAGATTTCAATGAAATTTGGTAATTAGGGATTTTCGTCGTCACTGAATTCGAATATTAAATAAAAATCTCTGGATACAAGGTTTCATAACAATCTATACAAGGTTTCATAACAATCTATACGTTTTTGTGGAAATCGTCCGCCATATTGGATTCGCCATTTTGATTTTTGAAAATTTAATATCAATTTTGAAACCAGTGATGACGAAAATCGCTGGATACCAAGCTTCATAACAATCTATACATTTTTTAAGATATCTTTCGCCATTTTGAATTTCGAAAATTGAATATCAATTTCGAAATCAGTGACGACGAAACCCCCTGGATACTAAATTTCACGGAAATCTGTCAAATACAAATGGAGTAAACATTGTTATCGTCCTATATTCTCGATTCGTCCCAATAAACGACTTAAGACAAGTAATTTTTAGCAAAAAAAAAACCGACTTCAACTCTCATATAAAAAAATATATATATATATATTTCGTGAACCACTGATCGGATCTTAACCAGATGGGACCACCTCTGAGACACTACCTTTCCGATGCAAAAAGAATTATCGAAATCGGTTGCCGTGGTCCAAAGTTATGCGGTAATATTCATAAAAAAAAAAAAATATTCCGACGAACTGATAACCGCCTCCTTTTTTGGAAGTCGGTTAAAAAAGATGCTCTATTTAATGAAGGGGTAAAGGGGGGGACGGGTTCGTGATATTTTTACATTGGCAATTTGTTGGATTTTCGAACTGTTGAAGAGAAATTGCTGTACTCGTTGGAACAATGGAAAAAGACAATTTATAAAATAGGTTTTATGTATAACCATTTTACAAGCAGCTATATTATTAACAAAAATCGTAAAAAAGTACATACTTCACGCCTCACTTTCCGTGTTGACAAAACTGTTAGATGTTAATAAGAATAAAATGACCAGCGAAATTATTTTATCATCGCTTCAAACAAAAAATTATTTAATTCGACGCACCATAGAAAACCCAACTTTGCGCTTCTGCTAAAGCTACCGCGTTGCGGTAAAAGTAAAAATTTGTGTGTTACATTGTGGACTGCTTTGTAAGAGTATGACAAAGGTATGTGTGATAAGATTTAAAGACTTTGGTTTTTCTATTTTTGTCGTCCTAAATTGTCGATTCGTCCCTATGTGCACCGTACAAAAGCCGCTTCAAACTCATAAATTTGCCAACGCTTCACAGCCGTAGAAGGATGCTCGGGGTCTTGTTCATGATTAAGATCTTGAACGGGTTGGTCAATAATCCCATTCTACTGAACCTGGTCACGTTTTTTATTCCTTCTAGACCTTCTAGACATTACAAGCCCATTAAGCTAACTATTTGTAGAACAAATTTTGAAATTCATGATGCTTTTCGTTGCACAACAAGTTACAACAAGTAAACCCTTACATTGCACCTTATTCGTTCAGCTGGTGAACTGTATTTCTGTTCAGTTTATGAGGTAAACGTGGTTGACTCGCACACTTTCCCGACTGCGCCACGGTTGTGTTGAGCATTTGTAAATTAAACTTGGAAATACATGATGCTTTACGGTGTTTATGCCAAGATTTTAACAAACATTCACCCCTATTCCGCACCTCTTTCGTATTCGGAATTTGCTGCGAATCGTAAACAATAGTATGCTGCAATCCGAATCGTATTTTCGAACTTTCGAAATTCGTAACAATGGCATGCCTAAAAACGAACGAGTTAAGCTTTTTTGCGTAATTTTGTACGAAAACATTTCTGTGTCGGAGGCAAGATAAAAGATGTAAATCGATGTGTGTTTGCAGGAAATATTAGTGTTGTACCTTTAAACAGATAAATTTGCCTTTCGCACATACGTATATTTTTATCCACTGCTTTATATAAACAAGCAAAAGAGGTGGGTGTTGTGGGTGTGAAAGGTCGTGTTATAGTTAGCTCCGCGAAGTTTTTTAAATTCAGCGGTTTTTATTAGCTTAACGCGATTTCAAATGCAAATAGCGATTCATATATTTAATCGGAAAGTGAATTTTGCTAAATAGCAAAGTGATAGTGACACTAGTTTAAGCAAATCAAATTAAATTAAAGTATACTTTGACTAGGAAGAAAACGGTGAAAGTGAAGAGAATAGTGATAGGCGAAAAAGCGCGCAGCAGCGGCAAATAAATAAAAAACACTCAGAAGTGCAGTGAAGTGTCAGCCAAGAAAATGGGGACTGCCATAAGTGCAAAGGCCTAATACGCGGTGAGAGTGGAATCCGCTGTGAATGTATATGCGGCAAAGTATTTCACAGGGCAAAGAAGTGCTCTGATCTCGATGAGTTCAGCAAAAAAGTCCTTGCGGACAATGCCTATGCGCGCTTTATGTGTGATGGTTGTCTCACATATATGCATAATATTGATGAGGTGTTGCGAAATATGAATATCTCTATATCTCTATAGAGAATAATAGTAAAAGCATAAAAGAGTGTAAAGACGACTTTCAAGGGTCGCAAAAAAAAGGCAGGTTAAAGAGCTAAAGCTCCTTTTAGAAGCTATAGAGAGGAAATTCGGTGAGCGTATAGATGCTATGCAAAGAGTTCAAAAAACATGCGAAACGAGCATAGATGAGGCCAATAAGATGAAAGCTGTAGCTAAAGATGTGAAAAAGCATAGCCAAGGTCTATGCGAAATGAGAGTGAAAGTAGTAAAATATGTGAAGAAATAAAAAGTCAGTAAGTAAAGAGCTAAAATCAAGTCATCATAGCAAGGCCTCATATGCTGAGCGTTTAAAAAGCGGAATAGTGAATCACAAAGAGCCGAAAATAAATAAAGAGAAACCTCTGATCATAAAACCGAAAGAGAAGCAAGACGCGATGAAAACAAAAGAGGACCTGAATAAGAACGTTGATCCATCGGATCTAAAAATAAGCAATGTGCAGGGTAGGAAAAGTGGTACAATCGTTATTCAAAGCGAAAACGAATCTGAGCGCGATAAAATAAAGACCGCAATTGCAAATAAAATGAGTGACCGCTATGAAATTAGAGTGCCGAATACGGCTAAACCCAAGTTTATGGCGTTTGGAGTAAGCTTTAAATATGAAAGCGAGCAACTGGTAGAAATGATAAAAAAACAAAATGAATGTTTACAAAGTGCTGACTTTAAAATTATTAAATACATTCAAGTCAAGAAATATAGGTCTAAATACTATAATTTTCTCATTGAAACGGACGTTGATACCTTCTCGGCAGTGCTCAAAAGCGAAAAAATAAATATTGGGTGGGAGAAATGTAGAGTCCAAGATGGTATGGTTGTGTCAGTTTGCTACAAATGTAAGGGCTTCAATCATATAGCTACGAAGTGCAAGGATGAAGAGGTCTGCCTGAAGTGCTTGGGTAATCATAAAACAATGGAGTGCACAAAGGAGCAAATAAACAGTGTATCAATTGCATTCGTGCAAACAAAAAATTTAATCTAGGGCTCGACGTGAACCACTTGACAACTAACCGACAGTGTCCTGTATACATGAAGAAACTAGAGCATAAGAGAAATAGAGCCAGCTATTAACAATTACAGGCAGTTAATAGGAACCGTGGCATGGAGTTGACGGTTCAGCCAGTACATGAAAAGCATAGCAGTAACTTGAAATGCGTTTATCTTAACATAAGTAGTATAATAGCTAATAAAATAGAACTTGAAAGGCTAATTGAAATTGTTGATCCGGATATAGTTATATGTTCCGAAACTTGTACAACAGAGGAAATATATGACTATGAAATACAGTTTCCAACATATCAAGTTGTAAGATGTGACTCGTACAGTAGACATACAGGAGGGGTAATCATAATATTGCGTAACGCACTAGATTTTAAAATAATACTAAACAAATCTATCGGTAAAACTGTTTGGTGTGTAGTTATCCAACTGAAAAATCTCGAAACCAAATGGAAAATCGGGGTGGTCTATCACTCACCTAGTTCAAGTGATGCTGATTTTCTAGCGTATATGGAGACCATTTTGTCGGAAATATGCGATAACATGGTAAATACCATTATTATAGGAGATTTTAATATAAACCTGAATATAATATCGACATATAGTAAGAAACTGAATGAGATATTCGCCCATCAGGCAATGAAACAGTTAATTAACTTTAATACTAGGGTTACTGAATATTCCGAAGCACTGATCGACTTATTGTACTCGAACGCTAAGGAAGTGTCATGTGAAAAAGCGGAGGAACATATAATATCGGATCATGAAACTATAATGTTCAAATGTGATATAAAAAAACAAGCCCCTATCAGTAAACTGTCTGAAATAACTTCGTGGGATGGGTACCTTATAAATGTTTAGCGACAATGCACCTTCGCTGACCTGAATAGTCTCAGTCCTGATGGTATGCTCGAACATATTAATAGCTGTTTGATTTCGAGTATGAAAAAACTAACTTCTCGTGTACAAAAGCGGGTCAAAATCCGAAATAAATGGTATGACAGACAATTGACTGAAACTAATAAAGAAAAGTTTAAGTTATGCCAAAGGGCAGTGATCACTGGTGATCGGGTAGAATACAATGAAATAAAGAAAACATATAAAAAAATGATAAGAATTAAAAAAATCCAATATATGGAATACAAGGTGGAAATTAATAGAGGTGACAGTCGTTTAATGTGGAAACATTTGAAGAATATTGTCAATAATGCGGATCACAAAGAGGTTCGAATCAACGGTAAAATATATAGCAATAGTACTGAAATCGCTGACAAGTTAAACCATTTCTTTGTTGATAGTATCACCGATATTAATAGGAATATAGAAAACATTAGTTATGATCCGATTCAACAGGAAAATGGTCAAGGGGCCTTTAAATTTTGTGAAATTAGTACAGATGATATTATCCATATAGTAAAGAAGTTCAAGATAAAAATTGGTGGAAATAATTTATTATCCGAGGGTGTAATCAAAGACTCCGTTGAATACATGGGTCACTTTTACGCCCTATTAGTGAATAAGAGCCTTCAGTTGGGAATAGTTCCGACAGAATGGAAAACTTCGCCCACTGTCCCTATAAAAAAGGTCAAAAACACCATAAAATCGGAGGAGCTCAGGCCAATAAACACCCTTCCCAACTTAGAAAAAATACTGGAAACTGTTGTAAAAAATCAACTATTAAACTATATTGAGTCAAATAAAATACTCATTAAGGAGCAGTCAGGTTTTAGGGCTAACCACTCATGCGAAACAGCTCTAAACTTGATCTTATCACAATGGAAGGAGGACCTTAACTCCAAGTAAACTATCTTGGCGGTGTTTGTGGACCTTAAGAGAGCCTTCGAGACAACCGACAGGGAAATAATGCTAAAAAAACTCGAATATATTGGTATAGATAACATCGAACTTATATGGTTCCGTAGTTTTCTTTCTGATAGGAAGCAACAAACGGTGATTGGTACAGCTCTATCCACAAAGGTAGCAGTAGATATTGGTCTACCACAAGGGTCGGTGTTAGCTCCAATACTCTTTAATATTTATATCAACGACATAAACTCAGTATTGAAGTATTGTAAGGTAAAATTGTTCGCCGACGATACCCTCTTAACCCTCAGTGACTGTAATCTACCCAATACAATGATTAAAATGCAAGAAGACCTTCATTGTTTGTATAAATGGTTGTGCGTAAACAGACTGCAATTAAATGTGAACAAGACAAAGTTTATGGTCATATCTAGAGCAGCTAACGTTAGCTCCGATGATTACAGTTTAAAAATTAAAGATGAAGTAATTGAGAAAGTGAGAATCATTAAATATCTAGGTATACATATCGGTGATAAGTTAAAATTTGAGGAACATATTGACTACAAAGCAGCTAAAATTGGTAAAAAAATTGGTCTCATGAAAAGATCATGTAAGTACTTAAGAAGGAGGTATAAGACTCTGGTCTACAGATCTATAGTTGAACCACATTTTATATACTGTCCAACAATCTTTTTTATAGCAAGCGACACACAAATAGATAAGCTTCAAAAATGCAAAATAGGGCTATGCGATTTATCTTGAACAAGCGGTACGACACACCCATACAGGAAATGATCGCAGAATTAAACTGGCTGAGCGCGAAACAGCAAATTTTCTTTCACGCTATGGAATTCGTGTTTAACATAAAGCAAGGTAGACTCCCAGATTATCTGAGTGATGTCCTACGATATAATAGTGAAACCCATTCGTATTTACTCAGGGGAAATAATTGCTCCAGGCTGCCGCTGTATAAAACGGAAATAGATAAGAAGAATATCTTTTATAAGGGATTAAAATGTTATAATGTTATAAATGTTATAACGAACTTCCTGCTCAAATACAAAATTGTGAAAACGTTGGTACCTTCAAAGGGCTGCTACTGGATCACTGTAGAACATTGGCTATCAGATAGAAAGGTCCGGCATGGAAACTAGTCCTTTCCATCCGTACTAGCTGGATGACTCTGGATTAGTCCATTCAGATCACCCATAATGTATGAAACAAGAAGGTCGGCATGGAAACTAGTCCTTTCCGTCCGATCAAATAGCGCGACTCTGGATTTCGTTCCTTCAGATCGCCTGCCGGGAGAGAAGTTTATAAGAAGCGGCTTGGAAACTAGTCCTTTCCAACCACTCATTTGTGGCGGCTCTGGAAATTAAACTCTTAGACCGCATCACGTACGTGATATATTTACGGTACTGCTTGGAATCCCGTCCATTCCAACAGCATCGAGAATATGCTGTCTTAGTTAAATATACATACTATTATATAGCTTAGAAGGAAAAGTGTAACAGGTTAACTTATTGTAAGCATTAAATTTAACTTTAATTATATATTGCAATACATAATTCGAATGTAGATACGTGAATGTATATAGGTCAAATGACTGTAATAAATAAATAAATAAAAAGAATCGTTGATGCCCCTTATCGAGAAACTTGGGTCCGGTTTAGTTATTTGTACAATGATTTTCGGTTGTTGTGTCCAAACGCATAACCCGAATCCAAATACGTTAACATACACGTGTAATCAAACTTTTACTTAAAGTAAATTTTCAAATTTCCGACCACTAGGTTATTAATTAATTCGGCACTTTTGCAAATTTCGATGTGGGTTCTGCGCAAAAATACTGTGGATGGCGTAGCCGGAGTGATATGCACAAGAAATGTTGTATAGATTTGACATGCGGAAGCCCCTCTTCTCCGGCAACACAGAAAGGCGAATTCTACTTAGTAAGGGTTATAATCCCTAAGCGCGGCCGAAGGCAGAATCAAGCGCAATAGGTGGTGGACCTAACAAAGTGCGTGTTTTCAATGGCTTGGAAGAAGCTGTTGTTGCATTAACTGGATTGGGAACCAGTTCTTCAGGGATAGGAGGAGTTTTGGCTTGTGGTTCAACAATACAACCAGAAGCTGGCATAGATGCGTCCATGGTTACTATGCCCGACAGCTCCGCATATCTGTGTGAAATCATTCCCATAGCGCGCCCTGGTTACGTTGCTATAATTGCAAATGCAATAGAATCCATAGTTTCCTCCAAAATATGTAAAATCAAACAATTTTACCATAAATAAGCTTTTCATGAGTGTTTTTTATTCCTTTCCACTTTGTTTTCCTTCAGTTGTCTTCGAAAAACAACTGACAGCTGGCAATGCTGCACATGTTCCCGCAAGGGTTGCAGCATGTGGATTTTTTGTTTTTACGAATTACGAAAATTCGGGTTCTAAAATAAGGGGGATTATGATTCCTTCGACATATCTGAATCGATTTTTTGCAACTAAATAAATTAATATCTTTAACTGGGAACTATAAATTACATAATATTTATGACTGCTTGGTACAATTGTAATCGGCTTCGTATATTTTCGCGACCGCGGAAACTCGGGCTTTCCGACCATGATAACAGCTTGTCTACAGCGCGGAGTGGAAACTAGAGATTTCCACCTGCCACACATTTATAGCAATGACTTCGGAAACATGGATCGGAAACGCGGTCTTTCCGACCTTGATCAACAGCTTGTCCACAGCGCGGAGCGGAAACTAGAGCTTTCCGCCTGCCACACATACAAAGTAATGGCTTCGGGAACATGGATCGGGAACTCGGCTTTTTCGACCACGGTCAACAGCTTGTCCATAGCGCGGAGTCGAAACTAGAGCCTTCCGCCCGCCGCACACAAAAGTAGACTTGAGACTAGGCCTCGCCAGCTACCCTACCTGCTATTTATATATTATTATTATTATTATTATTATTATTATTAAAAATCAATATTTATAATTAGTCTACTCTGTAATATATCACACATATTTAATATCTAAATGTTTTATTCTCATTTGTCTGTAAGAAAACATTTTTCTGTAGACCAAATAAATAAATAATTAGTTTATCTCATTATGTCTACTTGACCGTTATATAGAAGATGTTTGAAATAGGGGTAAAACTACCCCTGCTTACCATGTAGCG